AGACGGGATGCTGGACTAAACAGACCCTCACTGGTCTGATCCTGCAAGGCTCTTCTGATGTTCTTAGATAGGGTTTAAATACATTAACGGACAAGAGATCTGACAACGGCTAATGGGAAGCTCTGTGTTCAGCAGCGCTCTCTCTCTCTCTGAATTCCAGCTATTGAAAGACAAGAACACAGGAAGTCCTTGGCCTCCGTGTACTGATGGCAGGGCTTGTGTGGCAAATCACAACAGCGACTCGTTATTTTGCTCCGCGTTCTCTCTCTCTCTCTCTCTCTCTCTCTCTCTCTCTCTCTCTCTCTCTCTCTCTCTGAATTCCAACTATTGCAAGACAACAACACAGGAAGTCCTTGGCCTCCGTGTACTGATGGCAGGACTTGTGTGGCAAATCACACACGCTGCCGTGCACGACCCTTCCAGACGACAGAATGTTGAGGCCACAGGAATCCGGGGTTTCTTAAGCACGGCATTCCAGGCTCAGGGGCCCTAAGCAAAAGACCAGCCGTACCTTAGCCAGTTTGATGGCCTCGTTGAGCTTGTCCAAAGCGCTCTGGAAGTAGACGACCTGCAAAGGGGGCAGAGATTAAGTGAACCAAAGGCCCTTCTGAGCTGCCTCCGTCACTAACAGCAAGGAAGAAAAAATAGCTTGACGACTGCAGAGGGAGAGGGGAAGCCGTCCACATGGCTACCCAGACCAAGACACTTCTCAAGCATTTGTAAGGAGCGCATTCTGGGACACATGTTCTGAACGCAAGACGCGGCTGGCATCGAAAGAAGGGCTTACATAATCCTATTTAAGCGGAACAAAGCTGACCATTAGCGCTGAACAGCTACCTGATGGTCTAATCACTAAAACTTATTCTTTGCTAGTAAATCTACAAAGTCTTTCTTAAATTACATTCTAAGGAGGAGCGGGGACTTACAGATCAATACTGATTTAGTGGAATGGAGGTGGAGGTGGAATTGTGTGGCACCTAAACTCAGTTCAATGACTTTATAAGAAAATTTATAAATGACCTGCCTACCATTTTTCTTCTCACCTTGACACAGAGAGTACTCCATCTTTCTGTGTCATACCTCTGAGGGTGCCAGTCACAGCTGCTGGCGGAACGTCAGGTTTTACAATGCCAGGACCACAGCCATACAGCCCGGGAAATCTACAACAACTAATATTCCAGAGTTTGTTTGAATGGTCTCTCACTTCATACAAGTCAGCCGCTAAGTTCAGAAATATGCAGTGCCAGTTTGGTGGTGGGGTTTATCCAGGGCAGATTTCTTTTTTTAACAATTTTTTGGTCATTTTCAAAAAATTCAGTCTTTTGAGAAACTGGCAATCCAATTTATTAAGGAAATAGAGGGAAGTAATATAACCTGATCCAAAAGTTATTCTCTTGGGTTATTTAAAATGACATTTATTTTTATGTAGAAATTCAATTTATATTCCGCCCTTCCCCGAGTTCACACGTTGCCCTGTCAGATGCAGACTCAGTTCTGATCTGAATTACTGCTGCTCAGCCGACAAAAACAAAAAAATTGGAAGTCCAAACCTCCTTTGGAGAATGAACAGTTCCCTTCATGTGAGGAATACTGCATTAGTCACTAAGTTAATGCATTATCAGAAGGCCCCAGGAAATAATTTTTATTGTTCAGATAAATTCATTGAGCAATGGGTACTGCTTACAATCTTTTAGAATAATAAGGTAAGCCAGAAAGTGTTTGATGAGTTATCACAATGCCTCGGTTTCTTTTTGTAGCTGGGAACATGAAATATTTTATATATCTTGTGTAGGGATGTGCATTCGGTTCATTCGAACCGAATGCACTCCCGAAAATGGCCCATTCGGCCCCCTTTCGGGCAGCCACGGGCCGAAAGCCGCCACTGAAATTCAGCGGCATTTCGGCCGCTGCCCGAAAAGCGGCCCCGTCCCCTGGGTAAAGCATGGGGAGGCATTTAAATGCCTCTCTGCTCCCTCCCTGGCTCGCCCACCTTTGCGGCAGGCCAGGAATTACAGGGGAGGTCCTCTGGCCACAGGGAGACATTTAAATGCAGGATTGAGCGATTAATAAATTGAAAGATTATTATTATTTATTATTATTAAATGTCTCCCCACTCCCTCCTGGGCCCTTCCTGGCTCACCCACGTCAGTGAGCGGGCCAGGAAAGGGGGGCGGCAGTGGCTCGGGAACCCTTCCCCTGCTCGCCTGCTTCAGCGGGCAGGCCAGGAAGAGCAGTGGGCTCCCTTCACTGAAGGGAAGGCAAACTGTCTTCCCTTCAATGAAGGGAGCGTGCCGCCTCTGCGGAGCGACGATGGGGGGATTCAATCTTTAAACCTCTAGTCGCACTGCAGAGGCGGCATGCTCCCTGCCCTGCAGGGATCCCGGGCAAGCACCCCCTTGGAGGACGGCCCTGGCCGAATCTGATTCAGCTGGCCGAAGGAGCCCCGAATCGGCTTTCATTGCCGAATGTGGCATTCGGGGGTCATTTGGCCAGCCGAATCAGATTGGGCCCAATTTGGCCAAACCAAATCAGGCCGAATTTTTTTTTTTTTTGGCACACCCCAAATCTTGTGCTAAATTTTGAAGAAAAAATCTAATATTAGAAAAAGAAGGGGAAAGCCTAGAAGTTTAGGGGAAAGGCCCCAGTTACTCTCCAGCAAAGAGAGTTCACAGTTGCCATTACTTCCAGGAAAAGGGGTTGCCTGTCAAGGCTCAATTCCACCCTCTAGCTCAGGAGCCCCCAGCCTTTTTGAGCCCCCCTTTGGAATTCTGACAGAGCATTTGAGGGGGGCGCAGGCACAGAATGCTTGCTGCAGGAGGAGGAGCCAACCACACCTGCAGGGGAAACCCCAAGTGCAGGGGAGAAGAGGGGTGATTTTAAAAAAGAAACCGGGACGGACGAGCAAGAGAACAAAACTGACACTGGTGGCGGCTGGGGCTGAAACAAGGTTACTTCGATCTGCAAAGCCAATCAGATCGCCAGTGGCCAATCGGAAGCCCTGCTTGGCACAAACCCAACATTGCCCCATCTGGTTTCTAAGAACACTCGGTGGGCACCAAGAAAGGTGACGGGGGGACCACATTGAGGGCCCCAGCAAAACCAGGGCCCTCAGAACTCCAGGACCAGCTCCTGAAGAATCATGAGCAGCCAGGTTAGAACAACGGTGAGTTCTGTCCCTGGCCACTCTCTTCCTTCCTTTTTTTTTAAGTTTTATTTTTCATTTTACAAAGTATAATCATACATATACTAATATTATATTCATATAGCATTCTTGAGTTTATTGTTTATTTTTTCCCTTTATCCATTTATATATCTTAGCCAACTTTCTTGAAACATTTTCTCATCCTTCCCTTGCAATGTTACATTCAGTTTGTCCATTTCAGCAACCTCTATTAGTTTTATAGCTAACTCTTTTCTCGTTGGTATCTTATCTTGCTTCCAATACTTTGCTATTAGAATTCTAGCTGCTGTGAGAACATAAGTTAGTACATATACATCGTTTTCTTTATATTCCTTGGGAATTATATTTAACAGATAAATCTCTGGACAAGGTTTCAGCTTGATATTTCAACTGATCTGATTTAGACTGATTTTCTTTCCTTCCTTCCCCATTCATGTTAGCTGGTCCCCTTCTTCCTCTCTGATAGTTTACATTGAGTCCTATGATATTCTTTTTAATTTGTGAAGGGATTTTTCAAATAGCTGTTCTCAAGTTGCTCACTTGGCCCCCACTTACCCTCTCCCCAAACTTCTGCTGCTCCTCGGCCTGCTTCCCCATGTGCAGCTGCCAAGAGACAGAGAAGGAACAGCGCTGGAGCAGAGTGGCAGAAGGAGCCCCGTCCAACCCCGCAGCCCCCTGGGCCTGGGCTCCTGCGGTCACGCCCTCCGGCCACGGGAGCCCTCCATCCCCAGAAGCGATCAAGGGCCAAAAGCAACCCTCAGAGAGAACGTAAGGCACTTCCCCAGGCATACCGAGGAGTGCGTGGGATTGACTGGGATTTAGAGCAATTAACACGTGGAATTCACTGCCATAGGAGGTGGCGGCGGCTACAAGCATGGGCAGCTTCAAGAGGGAATTGGATAAACATCTGGAGCAGAAATGTCACCCAAAGAGTAATTAACACATGGGATTCATGGCTGCAGGAAGGGGTGGCAGCTACAAGTATAGACAGCTTCAAGAGTGGACTGGATCAACATATGGAGCAGAGGTCCATCAGTAGCTATTAGCTACAAGGTATAGATGGAACGCTATGTCTGGGGCAGTAATGCTCTGTATTCTTGGTGCTTAGGAGACCCACAGTGGGAGGGCTTCTGGAGTTCTGGTCGTGCTGGTGGACCCACTGATGGCACCTGGGTCTTGGCCACTGTGTGAAACAGAGAGTTGGACTGGATGGGCCACTGGCCTGATCCAACATGGGCTTCTCTTATGTTCTTATATGGAGCAGAGGTCCACAGTGGCCATTAGCCACAAGGTACAGATAGGAACTCTCAGTCTGGGGCCAGGGATGCTCTGTCTTCTTGGTGCTTGCGGGGTGGGGGCAACAGTGGGAGGGCTTCAAGTGTCCTGGCCCCACTGCTGGACCTCCTGATGACACCTGGTATTTTTGACCACTGTGTGAAACAGAGTTGGACTGGATGGGCCATTGGCCTGATCCAACATGGGCTTCTCTTATGTTCTTATATGGAGCAGAGGTCCACAGTGGCCATTAGCCACAAGGTACAGATAGGAACTCTCAGTCTGGGGCCAGGGATGCTCTGTCTTCTTGGTGCTTGCGGGGTGGGGGCAACAGTGGGAGGGCTTCAAGTGTCCTGGCCCCACTGCTGGACCTCCTGATGACACCTGGTATTTTTGACCACTGTGTGAAACAGAGTTGGACTGGATGGGCCATTGGCCTGATCCAACATGGTCTTCTCTTATGTTCTTATACGGAGCAAAGGTCCATCAGTGGCCATTAGCCACAAGGTACAGATAGGAATTCTCAGGCTGGGGCAAAGGATGCTCTGTATTCTTGGTGCTGGGGGGGGGTAACAGTGGGAGGGCTTCTAGTGTCCTGGCCCCACTGCTGGACCTCCTGATGTCCCCTGGTATTTTTGGCCAATGCGTGACAACAGAGTGTTGGACTGGATGGGCCTTTGGCCTGATCCAACATTGGCTTCTCTTATGTTCTTATGTCCTTATTGGGACACTTGGCCATTTACGGCCAAGAGAGGTCTGTCTTTTCTTCCTTAGGATTGCCAGCACATTCGGTACCCATTTGTTTTCCAAAGTGGTGTGCTGAGGAAAAACCAGGTAAAGACAAATGTCAAATTAATTTATTTTTTTTAAACCCTTAGCACGGCACAAGGCACCTGGGGTGGCAGAGACACAGCCAGTGGGCAGTACCACCCTGCACAACTCAAAAGGTGAAGGACGGTGCTGGGAAAAGCTTAGCTGACCAGAGCTGGACCCTGCCTGGGATACTCACATGTGCGACAGCAGCAAAGTAGTAGATTTTCATCTGCACCAGCTTCTTCCAGTCCTTCTGGATCTTCCCTAGGAGGGAGGCGGTGTCGGAGTTCTCCAAGGCCCGGCAAGCTTCTTTGTAGTAATCCACCACCTTCGGAAGGGGACCAGAGGCAGGGGATGTCCAACGTGTGGCTCTGGTGGGAGTGGGGGGGGTGCGGGACACCCGGATGGGTTGAGGCTAACTACGGAAGCAACGGGGGTGTGTGCCACAGACAGCCTCACCAGCGAACCAGAGGTGTAATCGCCACTGGAGGCGGCCATATCACACTGTGGAGAGCTGCCTACCGGTAACCGCCCTAGACAGCCTTTGGGTCCCAAACCCTCCACCTGTTGTCAGCAAGCTGCCAATGTGTTTCCCTGTACTCTGTGTGTGCTCTTATGTTTCACTATGCTCTGTGTGTATTCGTACGTGTCATTATTCTCTGGGTATGCACTTGTTTGCTTTCACTTTCCCATGTATGCCTGTTTATATGCTTAATTGCCTAGTTGCAGGAACGTCCGTATCTCTCAAGGCCGCAGGTGGTTGCTGGCGGGTAGTAGCTTGGGTGATCTCATGGCATTATCCATGAGAAGCAGTATGTTATGAGTAAGTAGGAGCGTTGCTTCCCAGGCTCAATGGCGCACGGGGGAAGTCCCGCAATTGGGCCTCGGCTTTTTGAATTTACTATAATCTATTGGGATCCATGCTTATGCCTCATTCTGAACAGTGATCCTGTTATGCACCCATTGCTTCGAATAAAGGAAAACCTTTTCTACAAGTGTGTTCTTCGTTGATGCGATGGGAGTCTGACACCTGTCTGCCCAGGTACAAAGATCCCCAAAGGCTTTCTCGCTCTTGGTGGCGAACGGCTCACCTGGGCACTGATCCTGGCCACCAGGAAGCTCTTGCGGTTGTCCAGCATCGACTTCTCCAGGAGGCACTCCTGAGCTTGGCCCTTCAGGAGACAAGAAAGAGAGCAACGTGGGTGGGGCCTGGCCCAGACCCGAGGGGGAGGGGGACCCTCCCCAGACAGCAGGTGAACCCTTCCTAGCAGGAGGAAACCAGCCGAAAGTATTTGGCTGCAAGCAAAAAGCCACCAAAGGCTCCGCTCCCGAGACAGATGCAGGAAGGGGCCTCGAGGGATCGCACCCCACAGAGCCCCAATCTAGTACAACCCAAAGCTGGCCCGCTGTGTTTTTGAGGTCCCCCATGATGCTGCAAGACAGCCTGCCTTCCACTTCACCAAAAGTAGAAGAATGAGAAGACATTGAATTTACACCCCGCCCTTCTCCCGGAGTGGCTTACAAACTCCTTTCCCCCTCCCCACAACAAACACCCTTGTGAGGTAGGCGGGGCTGAGAGAGCTCTGACAAAAACTGCTCATGAGAGAACAGCTCTGACAGAACTATGGCTTGCCCAAGGTCATCCAGCAGCTGCGAGTGGAGGAGTGGGGAACCAAACCCGGTTCTCCCAGATTAGAGTCCTTGCACTTAACCACTACACCAAACTGGCTCTCCTTCCCAAGGTCATCCAGCAGCTGCGAGTGGAGCAGTGGGGAATCAAACCCGGTTCTCCCAGATTAGAGTCCAAACACTTAACCACTGCACCAAACTGGGTGTCCAGGAGCACCTCAAAGGCCAACAAAATTTGTGGCAGGATATATGAGCTTTCGTGAGTCACCGCTCACCGAAGGTATCTGAAGAAAGCAGTGCCTCATGAAAGCTCCTCCCCTGCTACAAATTTTGTTGGTCTTCAAGGTGCTGCTGGACTCTGGCTCTTTTCTGCCGGTACAGACAGACGTAACGTGACTGGCTACCCACGTTGATCTATCTCCACCATTACTTGTAGGAATATGCCACCAGGCCACATGCAAATGCAAAGAGAGTCGCTCCTCTCCTTGCGGCCTGAGCTTTTGCTGTGGAACTCCAAGGCCCATCGGGAGATGCGGCTTTCATGGCAGCAGCGTGACAAAACCCTTGCAGCCGTCGCTCAGTGCTCGCGGCCCAGGGCTGAGCTCCGCGGGAGGGAACGGCCGCGTCTTACCAGCATGAGGTTGATGTTGAGACTGAGGATCTGGTGGCTCATGTCGACGCTGTAGGAATGGGGGAAGTGGTCCCGCAGGTATGTGAACGCGCCGGCGGCGCACTGGAAATGGGTGCAGGAGACCTTCATGCCCTGCCACATGGGGGGGAGGGGAGGGGAGAGGAGACAGCGGGAGAGCACGCTCAGCAAGCCGAGGGGGCAGGAAGGATGCTGTTGAGCCGGGCCCGGAGGGTCTGAAGGCTCCGGTGCTCCCCACACTCATTTCAGAGAACGGGCCATGCCGTGCTTTCGATCCCCCTCCCAAGACCAACGCCTCCCTCTAAGCCGTGGAGTCTGGTGAGCGAAAATTCTACTTTGTGAGCGACCGGCACTAAAGTTGTGTGAGCAAGCGATTGGGCGACTGCATCAATGAGTCTGCTCTGGGGCTCTCCTTCCCGAGCGAAGACAAAAAAATGTGTGAGCCAGAGGCTGAAAAACTGGGAGCTAGCTCACACTAACTCAGCTTAGCGGGAA